CAATCAACGGAGCCGTGAGAAATTCGGAAATCATAGGCGGTGCTGATGCCGGGTTGGCGGGTCGCGTGATACAGGAAGTGACTGAATCATCCAGGACCGAGGTAGAGCTGTTGTAAACAAGAACGGCGCAAAAGTGAATTAAAAAAACGAAATAAAAAGTGATATCGGTCAGTGATGTGCTTCAAAAGAACACTTTCAAGCTATATCACACCTGTGAATCGAGCTAAAAGAGCGAACCGTACAAAGTATAACATAATCCTAATGCAACAAGTGTACCTATGATTCAGCTCGATTGGGCATCGGGCCGTATTGTGTACCTTGCACGTTTGACTCTATCTAAAGAACTTGTGACACGATGAACTGGACACTAGCCCATGATGGAGTGCGACTTCCACAAACCGCGGCGCTGGCTTGCGGGTCTAACTTTGGCTAGTCAACAGCTACGGTTCTGAATTCCCCAAGAAAATTTACCTGTTTCGGCCCGGTCAAACCGACAATATCGCTCCCACAGGCAAATTATGAAACGTTCGTTTTTTTCCAATATTGTTGTACTGTCATTTGTTTGCCACATGTTCTGGATTCATACAACAACTTGACAAAACAATGGCGACGCCACAAAACTTGCCCGTAAAGAGTTAACTGTATGCTGCGGCAGCGAACAATATAAAACAGATTATAAGTGTTCGAACGCCGGATCACTGGAGTCTGGTGAAACAACCAGGCAAATAAGGCTTCGGATAGATGCAGAGCTTCAGGCAATCACGGTCATGCACTGGAGCTAGTGTTTAGCCTCTACTCGCTACGACAGCTAAACCGTAACGGTCATACGATCAGATTATTATGGTATATTTTACAGTTGTCTGTGTCAAACAAATCACGGTAACAATATTCATAACAAAGAAAAAGGTCTATGGTTTGCTTTTGGACGAAATAGTGTTCGGTTGCCCAGGTCAATAGAAGGGCGTCCTCATCGCGCTACTTGCCGGGTGGTGAGTGGAAGAAGGGTGATCACACCAAGACCTGGCATGAGGGCATGAAAAACTTGATAAAGAGGACATGGATATGTAAGTTGCACAAAGCCTCTTGTGACCAACCTTGTCGATGGTTAGCGACAATGACTGCTAAGACCAACTGTAGTAAACAGCAGCGATAGTGCATCTACTCAGGTTTTAGAGGTACGATTTGGCAAGTATCGATCGAATAATTATCATTATAAATAATCATATCAATAAGGCTACTGAATTTGCAAGTCTATCACAAAATCCATACTATCCACTCTAAATCAACCGAACTAGTGCTTATTAGGTTTACAGAAAATTCTACTGTGAGGCGGTCGGAAAGTTCTGGATGAAATTTCGGAGTTGAAAAAATATTGGTCTTTCCATCATTACACTGTACGAGCACATGAATTGGTCAATGGACACCGGACCAACACAGTACTTGATCACTCAGTTAGCATTAAAAAAGCGAACCCGTAATGCCTTTTTGCGGACAGCTGGTGCTACAACCAAACGTCAATCGAATGGTAATACATTGCGTAAAAGTAACTGTCATACTCAGTGACTGAGAAAGTCCTATTACGATGGGGATAACGCAACTTACTTGTGCTTTTCTCGAATAGATTGCCTTGTACTCGACTGTTTACACGGGCTTTCCAAGCTCATATTGCATCCATTGATCGTCGGCAGTAACGCCGTATGCCCCAATGTAGCTTGTAACATTGTTGCAACACCAGTCGGTGATGCCAGTAATGCACCGAGACCTTTGGTGGGCGTATCTGCGATTGAGCTTAATGGTGGAGTTCGTAGCATCGATGATGTTGGTTGTGATAAGCTCGCTGCCGGAGTGCTCTCTGGACGACGATCCACCAGATGAGGCTTGAAGAAATCATCCACATCGGCCTCCGGGCCTATGGGGTCGGCACCTAGATCGGCCAATTCAGGCATTACATTTGGACCCAGATCTTGCAAAAAACCTGTCAATACCTGACTGCTAGACACTTCGTTGGAGTCTGGATTGCTTACATCTGCGCCGTAATCCTCGCCAACCAAGGGCCAACAGGTAGGAGGACAGACGGCATCCGGTAGTGAGAACGGCGCATCTTCAACTGCTGTCGTGGGGTTGGGTAGCGAACGGGAATTCGGAGTCTCGTTGTTGTTCGGCTCCGACTGATCGAATGCCAGACCACAAAGTTCCATGTACAAACCTGAACACGGGAAAACGGGACTGCATGAGGTAATTATTGCAACTATTCTTAGACTTGAAAAACTGTGAACTTCTTCCAGATCAAGTCACTTGGTTGGGAAGCGAAGTGTTATTTATATATATTATGGATTGACATTCGAGGCAACGTTGTCTAATTTCTGATAGTGGAATCATTACATCGAACACAATTCCAACGAGAGTCCATCTTTAATTAGGGCGTATCTGTTAGTGGATGGAAGAACTAGTTCCTACATTCGTAAGGGCATTACTGTGTATCAGAGAGCACTCCTACAAATTCTGGCTGGCATTTTTTTCACTCGGGTTTACCATGCAGGGCAACGCTGCCGCCGATCCCTTTCTTCTATAACCCCACTGATTATATGATCATAATTATGAAAGCAGGTTATCAGCCGTCCTCAGTTGCAAGTTGGGATGAGTGAAGATACGTAAATGGTGCGAAGTCGAAAGCGGGAGCTCGTTAGGAAAGTCTCCTGCTGTGCATACGTCATTTCGTCCGAAGGCAAACAAAGCTTCGGCACATCTTTCACGAGCAGAGGGGAGGGGCAATCTTGATGGGACCAGATGGAACACGGCGCATACCCTACCATACGATTGCGGAGAACTTTGTGACGCAACAGTTTGGCACAGTATTTAATGTGATAGCCGAGTAAACCTAAATTCAAATGCGTCACGAGCACAGTATTTCACGCTACACTTCAACGGTATTGATTGGTCTCATTAGAAAATCTGCTACCGAGGAAGTCGATGAAAAAGAAAAAAAGCAGTCGGAGCTGAAGTTTCGAAATTTGGCTGCACTCAATAAAAGCAAAAGGAAATATAAACAGTCCCTGCTAGGAAGCCTAATGCGACCCATACATCCGATTAATCTGATCAGGATTTCCACATATTCATAGATCAGTCTAATCAACCAAGGTATTATTCCAAATACTGTCGGTATCTGTCAACATTGTATGCAGATGAAACATGTGGCATGTATAATCCGTGACCCGGTCATCGCAAATCACGGAGATCGGTGCCAGATAAGCGACTGCAGTGACGTTAAACTTTTTACCTAATCTGGGCATTGTTTGTTCGATTTTGTCACGCGGAGTAAACATTCCGTAATAGCCACCCAAAAGTTTCATGATTGTACAAGAAGCCCAGTGATGCCAAATAATGTGTCTCAGGTTAACAAACGCCATCTGAATCTTTTGCGTGAGGCTAGTTAAAAAAACAACTGGTGTTAACCAGCAGGAGTTGCACAATCGACGAATCTAAAAACGACGAAGAATAGTCGAATTGTGACCTAAGGATGTTTTTCCAATCTTTCTAGACGGCATGGTTGAATTCGCATCAATGTACCGTCGGAATCCTAATTATCTCGCATATACCAGGTATCTATGTGCTCGGGTTTCGGATTAAGCGGGAAACATACGACTCCAGACATTAGCCATTCATTTATATTTTGCTAAATAGAAAGTCCTTCGGTTACGTTTCGGACCCTTGTTCAGTTGTACGTCCGAATGTATCAGTATAGTCTGGGATGCGTATTTGGAGTTGTTACTGGTCACTCTTCGTTTGCACTTCGTGAGTGGATCCGAGACCGCCAAACATGTCAGATATTCGCTGTTGACGAAGCTCTACTCACTACCTTCTTGTGTGGGTGAATGGGTGTTTCTCCACCAAAGTGGACGAACAGACAACATTTGTGGATATAACCGTGCCAGTAAACCACTGCTAGTACAACCAGGAGTTGGAAAGGAACGCTGATTCCAGACCAACTAAGAAGAGAGGTACGAACCACACACGCCTCCCTGGTTCAGAGGTGATCAACCGCTTGATGGGGCATCAGGT